TCATCAATGTTTCTACCTCTCTCTCCCTCTCCCTTCTTTTCTCTCTAAAATCAATAAAGGGGAAAAAAAGACCTGTCTGAGTCCCTGAGTGACAATGTCCTGGTGCCAGGCCACCACATTTGGCCACTGGTGTTCCCACCCATGGGCCATAGTCCCTCAATAAAGACCTGGTCAGTCATCCTGGAAAAACACAAATCCTGAGAGATCTTTACAGAAGAAATGCGTGATCCCAGCCACCCCGTGTCTCAGGGCAACCCCAGCAGCTTCAGGGTGCAGTGCACTGCCTCTCCCCACCCTCTCCCCTCTTCTCGAAATCCCACCTCCTTCTCATACACTCTCCCCCAGAGCACGACCATCTCACTGGGACCTGGCTGGACCCTGGATCTGGTGGCAAACAAATCATGCAGAGATGTTGAGGATTATATAAAACTATATTGGTTACCTTTCTTAGGATTCTTGCATTAAAAAATTAAATGCATAGCCCGGCTGGTGTGGCTCAGTGGTTGAGCGTCGACCCATGCACCAAGAGGTCACCGGTTCGATTCCTGGTCAGGGCACATGCCCAGGTTGTGGGCCTGATCCCCAGTAGGGGGCAGGCAGGAGGCAGTCAGTCGATGTTCTCTCTCATCGATGTTTCTATCTCTCTCTCTCCCCCTTCCTCTCTCTCTAAAATCAATAAAGAAAAAAATAATTAAATTCATAGAAGCCATGACTCATGTAGAATGAGCCTTATTTTGGGTGCCCTGGTGTTGCCTCCCACAGTGGTGACCCGGGTCCCTCAAGCCCCTGCTTGGTGCACCTCAGGCCAATCCAATGAGCCCTTGAATGGAAAGAAGAGGATGTGGGTGTTCTGGATTTTTTTTTGTTTGTTTTTGGTTGTCACCTGAGGATATTTTTTTCCATTGATTTTTTTTTTTTTTTTTTTTTTTAGAGAGAGTGGCAGGTAGGGAGGGAGAGGGAGGGAGAGAGAGGGGGGAAAAGAGAGAGAGAAACATCAATGTGAGAGAGACACACATCGATCGGTTGCCTCCTGCACACAAGCCCTAACCAGGGCTGGGGATCAAACCTGCAACTCAGGTATGTGCCCTTGACTGGGAATCACACCTGAGACCTTAAGGTGGGAGGGCCGGCGCTCTAACCACTGAGCCACACCAGCCCGGGCAAGGATGTTTTTTACAGGAGAGAGATGAGTTGCAGAGAGATCCACGCATTCACACACATGCTGAAGACCAGCTGTGGGCCAGACACTGAACACCCACTGGGGACAAATTCAGCAAGAGGCCAAGGCAAGCAGGATCCCAGGTGAGTTGATGTGATCCAGTTCCAGGAGCTCGTGGTGACCTTGGGGAAAACAGTTTCCAGGGAGGCCGAGGGTGAGTGTGAAAAGTGGGGACAAAGAGAGAGGAAGACTGAAGGTCAGAAAATGACTCTCTTGGTAGGGAAGGATCACAAAGGATGTTTTAACAGCAACCCAATTCCTGTCCCAACTTGTTGGGTATAAGAAAACGACATCTTTACGTCCATCTCAGGTGGGCCTTTAGACCACAGTCTGAAAAATGGGGCTATGGAGGAATCTGGCTTCTTGGCTCTGCTTCAAAAAAAGCTTCTGAACAGCAAGAGATTCTGCAGCCAGGCCGTGTGGACCCCTGTGCCTGCTCCGCTAGCAACCACGCCGGCTTCTGCGAGCTCGTCTGGTCTGGCCGCAAGTGCCCATCACTCTGAAATGTAATGGGAACCTCCGGGCGCAGGCCCCATGGGGTCCCCAGTACCATCTTCTGCTGTTCTCAGGTATGGCTTGGGCACAGTGATGTTAGCATCTGTGGAAGCTAACACCAGGGAGGTGGGGCTAGAAGGCTAGAAAAATAATAAATAAAAACAAAGTAAAGGAAAGCAGAGCTCTTGGGTGCCAGAACGGGGCTGGCCAAGGCTGCGGCTGCCTGAGTAATGGGTTCCACATTTGTTTGGCTCTGTCTGCAGCGACCAGGATCCAGGATGCACAGAGGGCCTTGCAGGGGCTGGAGGGGAAAGCCCAGATGAGGACAGACCGAGGCAAACCCTTGCGATGGCCTCGTGTCCCCAGGCTGACCACAGCACAGCCAGCTCCCGCTCCAGCACCTCTGCCTCCTCCCTGCCCCCGCCCGAGGCTCCTGGGTCCCTGCCGGCCTGCACAGATTGTTCGTGTTATTAATGCCGATTTCCCAGAGATTCCATCTGGCTTTTTAATTGCTCTGGGATGGGGCTAGGATGCTTTGATAGTGAATTGGTATCTTTCCTATGTCTCTGCTTACGTCAAATGCTCCATCCACGGAGAGGGGTATGGAGGAGGGGGAGAAGGTGGGGGCTGAGAGATGGGAGATAGCACAAGTCTTTTACAGAGACAAGAAAGAGCTGTCAAAGGTGCTGGTGGTTTAGTTTAATTTCCAGCATAGGAAAGAACCGGATGGGATTTCCCCTCTGTCCAGGCAAGGACCCTGCCCTCTGTCTGCGGAAGGCCTGTGGGTGCCTGGAAGGAGGCCTCTGGCTGAGCAAGGCAGGGTCCTGCCCCCTCTTGGCCTGCACCAGGAGTGGCTTCCCTCTTCCTCTCCCCACTGCGCCATCTCCTCCCATGAAATCAGCTGCTCACGGAGGAGGCCTGGCAGGTTTCTGCCTGGGAAGGAGGGGGCGGGAGCCCTGGGAGGGGCAGACACTCCCACCAGTCCCAATGGCTCATCACAGGTGTCAGGGCCCAATGCCATGTTCACAGATTCCCAGGAGATCCAAGAGATAAGGGCGACATTCGTGACAACTCTAAACCATCAGGAAGCATCTGGCGGCAAAGGAGTGCCTCCCTTTCTCCCTTCTGCCCTTGCTCCTTCCCTGGTGGCTGGCTCCCTTGAACAGGGCTCTCAGGGGACACTGGGCTCTGGTGGCCCACCCAGGGGGTGAGGTCCCTACTAACTCTCATGGGAGAGAGCAAGGCAGAGGCATCCAGACCTGTTGGACTGGGTCCATGCCTGCATCGGGTCAAAGCTGTTGCCTCCAGGAAGCCTTCCTTGGTGGCCTCTATTCACACTTTGAGCTCCCCCTTATTGCACTTGTCACTCTTAAAGCACATCTGCGTGTCACAAGACTATGAGATCTCCAAGAGTAGGAGCTGAGTCTTCTTGTTCCCAGCTGAGTGCCCACCCTAGGCACAGGCCCTGGCATACAGTAGGCATCCAATAAATACTTGGGGTGTGTTTGGTGCCCGGCTCTTGGAGTAGTTCTTCATGAAGGCTGAAGTCAGGGTGGGCACTGTGGGGGGCCCTGCAGGAAGCAGTGGGTGCTGGAGTGGCTCTCCCCAGGGGCCTCTCTGGCTGGGCACAGAGCATGAGCTGGGCAGGTTCACCCTGTGCTGCCCCTGCCCCTAGCAGGCTGCTCTATTGGGGGCCACACAGGGGGGCCCCAAGCCCACTCCTTTCCTGGGGTTGGCTGTGGTTGGATCCACCTTGTCCTCAACAAAGCCTGCTGTGGACCTAAGGATCTGCAGTAGGAGGGCTGCCCTTTCAAGAGCTGTCAGCTTTGAAAGAGGAGATCCCTGGAGATGGGACTGTGGGAGGGGTGGGGGAGGAGTGAGGGCAGGAGGGGTGCCCCTCCCCCACTCGTCCTGGGATCTGTTCTGGGGGCAAAGGGGGAAGCCAAGGCTTGGCCCCCTCAAACAAGAAAAACTGGAATCAGCACTGAACTCAGAGAGGGTTTGCTGGGGCCTAGCAAGCTGTGGCCTGCCCCAGGCCTCTAGGCAGGCGGTGGGGCTCTGCCTCCTTGGTTCCCAGGCAGCAGGGCAGGCTGCCGCCTCCTCAATGGGCTCATGGCCTTTCCTGTGCCAAGGGCGGCCATGGGTGAGGAGGCGGCAAGACACAAGACAGAAAGTGGGGAGCAGGAAGGGGGGCCGGTCACCTCCATTAACCACACAGTCAGGTGAAGTTAAAGCTTTCAGAGTTGAAGAAGAATGTGTAATTTCTTGAAACTGTCCCAGCCCACAATGCCATATACTATTAGCTGTTCAAGTGAACACTCTGGGAGGTAGTGGGGGGGGGGGGGGCAGGAAAGAGGAGATAAAAAGTGTTTTGACTTTTGCCCTCAGAAAGAGTAAACTCTGAAAGTCCCACTAGCCCCCTGGCTTACTCCCTCGGCCGCCCCGCTCTTTCGGGCATGAAGGTGCCCCCTCCCTTGATCAGCTATCACGGCTGCTAAGAGGGTGCCGGGTGCTCGCCCTCACAGGACAATAGTCCAAGTGGGGTGCTTGCTGCGGGGTGGACACAGTGGACAGCATGGAATTTGGGCCGGCTCCTTGACAGGTGGTGTGTGGGGAAAGGCCAGACACCCACTTCAGGCCTGCGGTGGCCCCCTTTCTGGGTGGGCTGGGCAGGGAAGGTGTGGAAGGTCCGTGGAGGGGCGCTCGATCTTCAGACTGCCTTCTAGGGCCCTGCTGGGGTAGGCTGCAGCCACAGGGCCCAGAGCAGGAGGGAAGGAGCTGGGGGTCCTACAGCTGGAGGCCTGTCCCTGTCCACCCAGAGCCCTGCCGAGGCAAAGCAGGTGTGAACGAGGCTGCTCCAGAGCTGAAGCTGTGAGTGTTTGAAGTGTGTGGCCGAAGGACAGGGCCTGCCTGAGTCCCAAAGAGGCCAAGACCTGCCTGAGTCCCAAAGAGGCCATGGCAACTTCAGGCAGGGGGCTCCCTCTCCGAATCCCTCTTCTCTCAAAGGGCCATGAGAGGCCACATCAAGGTCCCATGACCCTCTGTCTCCCAAAACAGTCTCCAGCCAGGAGACTCTCTTCAGGCTTTGGCATTCTTAGCTTGGAGCCTTGTCCTCCTTCTGCCATTTATTTGCCTTGGTTGGGAGAAGTCACCCCTTTAATGTTAAAGAGGGGCTCATGATGGGTGGAGAGTGAATGAAAGTCAGGATCTCAGCCAGAAAGTATGCTGTGATTATTTACAAATGTGACCTGGCCCACAGAAAACCATGGAAAATAGCTTTTCTGCTTTTAAAAAAACACCAACATTTACTTTGATATGTTTATATTATAGATATAATACATAAAACATCTAGCATGAAACTCGACGTTCTCCCCAAAAGAAGAGAACCAAGCCGTCCTTCCCTGCTCCCAAGCCCAGCGATCTGCGTGTGTTGATTGGAGGCTGCCTCCCTTCCAGACCGGGAGCCAGGACCTTGGTGGGGGACAAGCCTGTGGGCAGCTTGGGGCTGCAGGGGACCAAGGCCCCCAGTCACCCCCAGGGGAAGCCCATCTTGCCTCTTTGGTTCCCCTGGGAGCAAAAGCGATCCCAAAACCAAAGGAAAGAGAGCCGCAGACCCTCCCTGCAGCTGCTGACGAAGAGTCTCATTTTGGCAAGTATCTGAGCAAAACCAAAACAAAACAAAAACCAAAGAAAATGGTGGTTTAGCATAGACATGCACATTCACATTGCACAAGGCACCACTGGGACACAGAGAGGCCAGATACAAATGTTGATATAGGCTGATGAAGCAAAATATTTGGAAAGCTTCTCATAACTTGGGTCCCTTTGGGATGGACTGACTGTGCTTCATGTTTGTATGGCAATGTTGGCGACAAACAGTATAGACATGGCTGATGGTCCCAGTGTCCCGTCAACCCTTCCCCAACCCCCAGACCAGACCTCTAGGTTCCCCTCTTGCACCGGGCCACCATTCCCATATGTCCTTATAGCTAATCCACACCTAGCTTTCTGGTCTGACTGGGGGTGAGGTCTCCCACTGGTCACATGGTGACTCAGATCTCAGGGAGTTCTGCCCTGGAAGCCCAGTCCGTTGTAGGCTGGGAAGTTAGAGGCAAGGCACTAGGGACCCTCTACCTTCATGAAGAACTAGAACGATCTTAGGTTCAAAGCCCCAGATCCCTGTGTTTCCTCCCCTCCAAGGACAAGTAGCTGAGGAGCAGCTGGGGCTGGCTTGTAGGATCTCTGCTCCATCCGGAAGCCTGCACCCCTCCTTCTCTTACGGGGTCCTGCTGCAGGAACCCTCCAAATAAAATGACAAGGCACATATTTGCTCCCCCTACTTGGTAGGAATCAGAGCGGTGAGTTTGCATGTCCAAGGCACAAGGTTATTCCTTAATACTAGAGTTGCCAGGCTCCCGGCTTGGCCCCGCGGCGCTTCTCTCTTACAGGGATAAACTACTGCCTGACCCCTTATCTTAGACGCACCGTGTCGCACGCAGAAGAAGGCAAGGGGCACGCGCGACAGTCCAGGCTTTCAGTTGGCATCGGAAACTCCTAGTCCTGGCACGCGCGGCTCGGGCAGTCTTGAGATCCGGAGACCCAAAAGCACTCCCTGGGTCCCAGCCAGGGGCCGGCCCAGGGCGGTCCCGCCGCGGGGCGCCTCACGCGCAGTTGCCCATGGCCTTGACCAGGGAGCTCTCGGGCAGCTGGCGGAAGATGCCCCGCAGCGTGTCGAGTTCGCGGCTCAGCTGTTCCACCCGCTTGCGCAGGCGGTCATTGTCACTGGTCAGCTCCAGCACCTTCTGCTGCGTCTCCACGTTGCGCTGCTTGGCCTTGTCCCGGCTCTTGCGCACGGCGATGTTGTTGCGCTCGCGCCGCACCCGGTACTCGTTGCTGTTCTTGTCCACCGACTTCTTGGCTTTACCCGCGCCGCCGCCTCCGCCTGTGCGGAGGTCGGGGTGCGCAGCGGCCAGCCCCTTGAGCGCGCCGCCAGGGCCCGGCAAGCCAGCGGCGCCGAGCGCGGGTGCTGGGTGCGGGCTGGGCACGGGCGTGGGCGGCGGCGTGGGGTGGCCGGGCTGCAGGTGCATGGTGGTCTGGCCGCAATGCGCGATCTGGAACTGCAGGTGCGGGGCAGCCAGGGGCGCGGGCGGTGGGTGCGGATGCGGGTGCGGGTGCGGGTGCGGGTGCGGTGGCGGTGGCGGCGGCGGTTGGTAGGGGAAGAGGCCGGCCAACGCCAGCTGCTTCGCCTCGTCCTCCTCACGCGGCTCCTGCTTGATTACTAGCGGCCGCAGCGCTGGCGCCCCGACGCGCTCGTACAGGGGCTCCAGCCTGCCGTCCAGGTAGCCGGGCGCCGCGCAGCCATAGCTGGGAGGTGGGCCGTGCGCCCCCCCGGGCATAACAGCGCCTCCTGGGCCCACCGGGGCTCCCGGGTAGTCAAAGTCGCCGCTGCCGCCTCCCACGGGGGCCGCGGCCGCCTTGGCCTTCTCCTGCTGCCGACTGTGCTGGAACAGGTCGGCCAGGAACTCGTCGTTGAAGGCGGCCGGGTCGATGTAGGCGCTGATATCGATGGACGTCTCGTGTTCGCAGATGCCGCCCAGCGGTTCCGGGGCGGCAGGTGGGGCGAGGGGCTGCGCGGGGCCCGCGCCCCGGGGAAAGCCAAAGGCGGCGCTGCTGGGCGCGTGCTGGGGGCTTTGAAGGTGGCTGCTCATCGGGGTCCGCGGCTCCGCCTCGTAGAAGTCGGCCGACTCCATGGGGGAGCTAGAGTCCTCCCGGCATGGCGAGCCTCGGCGGCCTCCAGGCTGCGCGGGGCACCGATGCTGCCACCGCCCACCGGGAGCCCCTACTTGCTTGCGCCCGCGCAGCTCCGGGTCGCGAATGGCCAGGCCCGCGCGGGCCCCGCATTTATACCGGGACAGCTGTCGCCCTCTAGTGTCTTACCATCGGCGACGGCGTGTGGCGCCTCCTGGGTCTTAGGGCCCGCCTTCAGGAGAAAACGGTATGTGGGGCTGGAGAGGCCGCGACGCAACGCCCACTGGCCCCTGAGCCTCCAGCAGATCGGTGATCCGCGCGCGGTGCTCCACCCTCCGCCTAATTGTCGCCCCCACGCACACGTGGTTAGTGGCGGACCCCTCTTCTCTGGCCTCCCCGAGACACCCACTTCCAACCAAAGCCCAGGGAGCCCGGGAGCACCCAGGCGCCGCGCAGGGGGTTGGTGTAGTGCAAGTCTTGGTCTCCGAGCTACTGTGGCGCCGGCTCGCTTTAAAAGCTAGAACCAGTCTTGTCCGGGATCGGGGTTTCTGGAAGGTGGCGACGTGGAGAAGGAGTGGGGGTGGGGGCAGAGAACAGTTTTGGAAGTACAGCCCAGCGCACACAGGCCCGGAGCGCAGAGATTTTGCTTCTTTATCTCTGACGTCCGGACGACCCCACCGATATTCTGCAGAAGTACTTCTGCGCCGTTCGCAGTACTTCGGGGTTCCAGGGACTCCGCAGCGCCGGGCGCTAGGACCCCGCAGGGAGCAGAGGGAAGGGCAAGCGGCCGCGGCCAGGGAACCGGGTGGACTCGTCGGGTTTGACCGCCTGGGCTGGAAAACTTTTTCTTTCTAATTACTTCTCTTAGCCGGAGCTCCATGGTTGCTCAGTGCGCGTGGCTGGCGCGGCTACCCCGCGCGGGGCAGCCAGTTTTTTCCTGTGCGACGGGCCGAGCTGGATGCCGGGGCTGGGGTGCCGGGACGAAGGGGAGCGCACGGAAGGAGGAGGCGAACTTGCCTCCGGAACGGGGATCCTGAAGCGGGCTGGCTGTCAGCGGGGTTGGAAACTGCTGCCTTCTCCCCTACTCCCTATTCAGGTGGGCTCCGAGGTGGGAGCAGGGGGGTCGAGGAAGCCCGGGCCTCTGAGTCTCGGAGGCAGGGGGTCTGAGCACCTAATGGGGGAACCCTGCTGGGTGGTTTCCAGGGCGCTCAGTCACCCGAGATCCTGGGGGGCAAGGCGGCCAGGCCCAGTGCCCCCTGGGCGCCGCGCCGCGTCACACTCACTGCTGTCGGGGGAAGGGGTTTATGGCAGCACGTCTCGCAGCCACGTGGAGTCTCGCACATTCTATGTGGGGATCAGGGGGACAGCAGGTCTCACAGGGGGCCTCATGGGGCCGAAAGTCGCTCCTGCTACTATCCTCCGCCCCTACCGCCCTTTCGACTTCGTGCTCTGAAGTCGGGTGCTGCCTGGCTGTTGGTTGGAGGTGTGCCTGGCTGCGCTTTTAAGACCCTCTCGCAGAAAGCAGCCTTCCCAGCCTTGGCCAAGCTCCACAACCCGCCCAGGAGCCCTCCAGGCCAGAGCAAAACACACGGCCTGGTTGCCACTGTGGTCACAGTATAGAAGCAATTTGTGCTTTAATCAAGTTACTAGTCAACATATTTTCAGCGATTAATGACTCAACTGCTTCAGTTTTTAGTCCAGACCTCAGACAAAATATTTTTAGCTTGCTGTTTTTGAACTGAGAGTAAAAGTAGATATATTAAATAAATAACCTACGTGAGCCGAGGCGCAGCTCCTTCGGCCAGATGCAGGACCCGTTTCGACACCAGCACCTTTGGAGCCTCAAGGAAAACTCCGAGTGGGATTTGCAGTTTTTCTGCAGTGCTGGGAATAATGGCAGACCCAGTGTAGGAACAATCAAAAGGCTACTGGAAGTGTCCTGTTCGTAGGCTCTACCCCTGCCAGGGCTACAGCAGGAGTATCTCCTCTTAGGATGAGGGGAAATCTCAGAAGCTCCCAGGGCTGGGGGAGCTGTTGGAATCAGGCTTTGTCAATAGGGTGAGTGGGGGCGAGAGAGGCACCCAAGGGGGCACACACCCCGGGTCACAGGTCCTTCCACAGCAGAACCAGAATTCTCCCCACAAGGCCAGCTCTGTGCAAGGTGCTTAGTGCCCAGAGATAAGGCAGAAGTGGCCTCTGCCCTCTTGGAGCTCTGGGCACAGTTAGAAAGACAGATAGGTCACCACACAGTCTGCTGGGAGACAGAGGCCTCCTCACAGAGCAGGACCCCGAAAAAGCAGGGGTGGAGGGACGGCATCCATTCATTCATCAAAGATCTGTTAGGAGACACAAATGGGCATGAAGGATTGATGTGCTATGGGACACCCTGCCCTGGCGAATATGAGGCTCTGGGGGAGGTATCAACAAATTTTGTTTGGGGAGATGCTATGGACTAAATAGTGTACCCTCACCTCCCACCCACCATTAATATATTGAAGCCCTAACCCCCAATGCAACAGTATCTGGAGATGGTTATTTTTTAGGAGGTAATTAAGTTTAAAGGTCATAAGGGTGGTGTCCTAATCTGATAGGATTGGTGACTTTGTAAGGAGAAGAGAGGGAGAACTCTCCCCCACCCGCCACCCCCAGCACCATGTGAGGGCAGAGGGAGAAGGCTGTGTCCGAAAGTCAGAGACCAGAGCCCTCACCAAAACCTAACCACGCTGGCACTCTGATCTCACACTTCCAGCCTCCAGAGCTGTGAGAAAATCCATTTCTCTTATTTAAGCCACCCGATCTGTGATGTTTGGTTATGGCAGCCTGAGCTGACTAAGACAGGGGGTCAGAGGCGGCTTCATGTGGGAGTGGACCTTTGAGCTGCACTTTGAAGGATGAGCAGGAATGAACTAGAAGGATAGGGGGACAGAACGGCAGGTGCAAAGGTGGAGAGGCTGTGAGCGCATGGCGTGTTCTGGTAACAAAGGACAAGATGTTTGCCGGGCTGGAGTGCAGGGATTGCCAGGGAGGGGCCTAGATAAGGCTGATGGAGCTGGGTTTATAGCCAAGGCCACACCAGGTGAAGGAGAGAGCTTGTCTCACAGGCTTTTGCCAACCAACTTTTAGCAGGGGAGCACTGTGATCCACCCCTTGGGCTAGCCCTCACCAGAAGGTTCCTTAGTCAGGTGGGTGGAGATTCCCAGCACAGGGATCCAATACTAACCATACTGGAAATTGCCCCCCTCCCATCACCTCTTGGACTAGGAGTGTGCACACCGCCAAGTGCCTGGTAACACGGCCCATGTAGGCCTAGGCAGCTGCTTCTGAGTTGTTTGAGCAGGAAATTCCTTGGCCTGGTAAGCTCCTCACTCCGAGGGAAGAGAGGAACCAGAGGAGGACATGAGAGGGGCCCTCTAACGTGGGGGTCCTAATCAGGGGCCCTAGTACCTGAGTCTAAGGGTGGTATGGGGGTCTGCCGGGCAGGGTCTCAGCTGCCATTCAGTGCAAGCAGGAGAAGAGGAACACAATTGCTTCGGCCTTGTCTGGAGGCCCCTGTCCCTGCTCCTGTTGGAAGTGTCAGCAATACCCCCAAACCTGTATCCCCAATTCATCCCTTCTGTCCATCTCTCCACCGACACCTTGATTCCAGCCGCCATGCTCTCTCACCTGGACCATCGCAGTAGCCTCCAGTCTCCCTGCTGCCCTCCTGGCCTCATTGCCGCCCCCACCCCCCAGCAGTCTGCACAAAGCACCCCGAGTTACCCGTTAAACATGTGCTGGGATCATGCCTCTCACCCGCTTCCACTTCCCATGACCTCCCATTGCGTGTGGAAGAAGACAGGTGATGTCTCAGCCTGGTGCAAGGTCTGCATAATTTGGCCCTCACCTCTTCTCACTCCTCAGACTCTTCTTGGCGCCCAACTCTGCCACGCCGAGTGTCCCCCAGCCTCAGGGCGCTTCACTGTGCTCTGCTGGCTCCCTGGAATGCTCTGAAATGCTGGCATGACTCTCTCTTCCTGTCATTTGAGTCTCACCTTCTCAAAGCGGTTCCTCTCAGGTATGAATTGCACACTAGCCACCCCTCCCCCACCACTCCTTGGGCCATTGTGTGTTTTATTTTCCTCCTAGCGCTCTCTGGAAAATGGCCTTGTTTACTTATTTCACTTGTTCCCTGTCAAGAATGCCAACTCCACAAAGGCGGGATCTTGTCGGTCCTGTTCTGCCGATTTCCAGAGCTAGCATGGGCCCTGGCATATGGTAGAGGCTCAAATATTTGTTGACTGGACAAGCATGGATTCCATTGAAGACAACTGCTACCCAGCCATCCTCCCAGAACTCAGTGTGTTCCCAAGCCTAGGAGGGGTACTCAACGGTGGCCCAAAGGGTACTGGGGAAGACCCGGCCCCCTGGGTCACGGCTCCCCAGGGCAGACCCATCAGGAGCCTCCTGCAGCCGTGCCTGGCAACTGTGCCAGGCCCTGGAGTCTACACAGTGCCTTTGGACTAACTCAAAAGAAGCCCCCTCAGGCAGATGCAGACCCCTGGGTTTGGCTGAACAGAAAGCGCTTTTGCCAGGAGGAAAGGGGCCTCTTTCTCTGGAGAGGTGTAGCCCAGCCAGGACACAGGCTTGGTGAGTGGGGGCCTCCGGAACCGTGCTTGCTTGTGCAGTGACAATTTCTCAGCTGGACAGGACAGCCCTGAACCCTGCCCCCACCTTGGCTCCAGAGCATCCCCGTCTGTAGGGCACGGCTGGGAGGGTGCCCGGAAGAGCAAGGCTTAGTCCTTGGACGTGAGGACATCAATCCACCTGGGAGAACAGGCCTGCCTTCTGCAGGGCACGTGGGAGGCAGCCGCTGTCCAGCATGTAGGCCTGACAACCCCACTGCTCGAGAGATGGGGCCAGGCCTGGAGCCCCGTCCGGGCACCCACCGTTTTGGTCCCATTCCTTCTCTTTACGGATTCCAAGGATGTTTGCCTCAAGGTGCATCTCACAAAACAACAAATAAATACAACTTCAAAGTGACAAACCAAATCTTTGGAAAATCAAACCAGAGTCTTTAGGTGCTGGCTCATAAAGGCCTCAATTCTAAACCTCTTTCCTTGTGGTTTCCCGAGT